ATATATATAAATATATATATATATATATATATATATATATATATAAATAGGTGTCAGTAAACATGTTGTGTGTGTGTGTGTGTACGTATTGTTTAAATGTCAAAAAATCATCAGACATCTAGATGGAAAAGTGATTTTAGAATTGTTATTTTCCTTATCGACAATATATATTATATTGTTTGGTGAGCACAATGCGTGAGTTGACAGAAAAGAAAGAAGCTATGATTTCTGGGGAATATATATATATATATATATATATATATATATATATATATTTATATTATTTAAAAAATAAATTTTTTTTTGCCAGGAAATTCTATGTTTGATAAATAAATTCTTCAGATGTTTTTAGTTCTTTTTTTTTATTTCCAAATTTTCCTCAATTTACCGATTTGTTTTAACATCTAATATTAGAGCTATCCGATTTTTTTTCAAAACGTGTATTACTATTAGTTCATATATATATATATATATATATATATATATATATATATTATTTATTAGTCAGAACATTTTAATGTGATTTATATAAAAGAGGTAGCCAAGAAAATGGGAAAACAATTATATATATATATATCATAGGAAAAAAGACATAAATATATATATATATATATATATATATATATATATAAATAATAATAGTAGGTAAAATGTTGGGCAAAACACAGAATAGATCAATTTCTAACAGATCATTTTCTTCCATTGACACAATATGCACTTAAAAAAACTAAATTTTCCCATAAGGGTAAGTCAATTATAAAATTGGAAAATTATTAAACCATAAAATACAAAATGAATTTTAAACATTTTAAAATAGATTTGTTGCATAAAGGTCACAATGGATTTGGACCCAGGAGTAAATTTCTGACGCATGTAGATTTTATAGCTATATATATATATATATATATATATATATATATATATATATATATATATATAGATATATATATGATATAATGGAACATTGTTACATATTTTAATGCGAAATCGCTCAGACATGCTAATTTATTCTGAATTCTGAATGGTGAAATGTTACCGATGATCAATGTATGTGATTTTGGGGTTTTCTTTGTTAAAAAGATGATTAGTACATGTGTTTTTTTCTTTCATTCTCTGCGAATCTGTCCTTATTTATATATATGTGTGTGTGTGTGTATGTGAGTGTGTGTGTGTTTTGAACAGAAAATTATTTTTTATATATGTACTTCTTGTTGAAACTTTTTTCCCAACAATTATTTAAACATTTTTTTTTTTTATTGTTGGTATTTTATTAGAGAAACGCCGTTTCACAAGGAGATAAGCACGTTCAGAAGAATTTTGATGGGAAACGCTGGTGTTTCTCGTTCAGGACAAGATTACTGGCGCGAATCTATCATGTCTGACGATCAAAAGCTGAAGGCAATATTCAATATCCGATCTAGCTAATGAAAAAAATGTAACCAAATTAGAAAGTACACTTATCTATACAGACATTTGAATCCTTGTTTTTCTTAATGCGGCAAATTACTTCAGAATGACGCGAAGACGACGCATGCGCAGATAAATATTGGAAGTAAACTTTGCGCATGCAGATTTTAATGAGGTTAATATTGTTTATTTTTGCGCCCGTCCATTGTTGAAAGCATCGATTAACAACTTGGAGATCTTTTTTGATATTTACTAACGAGTAAGTTAATTAATCCATTCCTCGCCGTTTAGAAACACAGTCTCTTCGACTCTTATCTGCTGATGGGTTCGATTCTCCCTCAAGACACAGGAATTATGGCTTTATGTAAAATACGCTAAGTTTACCAATAAACTGGAAAATGGTCAGTAGTATATACTTCAAATCGATTCTTTCCACGGTACGTTCTATACTCACTGATTGGCCCTTAGGTGTGACCCTGATATCAAATAATCAAACCATAATCAATTATTTATAAGAGAAATACCGGAGAGTAGTGGTTAAAAATCTAGGCTCAAGAAACGTTAACATTTTAGTGATATCTTTTCTCAATGAGTACCTCAAATTTTGACTTTGCGTTATACTAAGCTCACCTTAGAAAATAAAAATAACAACGCCAAGCTAGTAATTAATTCATCAATCTATATAATATCTTTGCGTTATCAAAGAGGTTTATTGATTTTAAATTTTAATATTGAAACCCACCTCCATGGGTGCAGGACGACATCATAAAATTGCCAAAATAACACCACCGACTAAACACCGCCTTTTTATTTTAAAAATATATGTCGTATTTTGTTCATTATCTACGTATCTACCTTAATTTTGTTATCATATCTATCTATCTTATTGATGAGATCTATCTATCTATCTATCTATCTATCTATCTATCTATATCTTCAAAAGGACTGAATCCGAGATGCCAATTTAGAAAAAAAATTATTCCTGATTCTTTGATTTCAAGAATCTCTAAATGCATAACAGGAACACCAAACCAGAAAATAGTTTTAGAGAAAATAGTTTTATTATTACGTTTCTTCAGTTAAAACAAGAAATATATATATATATATTAACAGACTTAGATAGACAGATAGATAATAATCAGGCTAAAACAGATAGATATTAACAGATTAAGATAGATATATATTAACAGATTAAGATAGATATTTACATTACTCGGATTGTTGTCCTCATCTTTATTGTCATATTCACGACGTTTCCGCTGTTGTACGCTCCGATCTTCTTCAGGATTATTGAAATTTGAAACTAAACCCTTTATTTCATCCATGGAAAATTTGTTTAGTTCCATGTGCCATCCAGCGAACGGATGATCAGTTATCTCCCTTTAATCAAGATCTCCATTTTTTTTTTTTACCATTTCAGTAGTCTGCTATTGAACTCAAAATTCTTTTTCACAAGTTACTAGAGCCAACCAAAGAAATCCACTGGGCCATGTATTGAAACGTTGTGAATATGGCAATAAACATGAGGACCACAGTCTGAACAATATATTTAATGTAAATAATTACAATGCTTCATCTCAGAAATATAAACAGATATAGATAGATATTAACAGACTAAGATAGATAGATAGATAGATAGATAGATAGATAGATAGATAGATAGATAGATATATATTAACATACTGGTATAGAGTAAAAGATAATAAGAAAAAAGAGACAGAGGATATAAGTGAAACTGAAACAACTCTCGTAGATAGATGAACTGAAAGTCATGCAATCACTTCCTAAATGAAACTTTGACAATATCGTGTTGGTGGGTGAAAATCTATGGTAGGGTCAAGAAATCCATTTAAACAGGTTCGTGTTGCTCCCAATAAAGAAGTTGATTTGTGCATTTCCGAATTTATTAGTTTGGGGTCATGTTTTTCAAATATTTTTCTTTTTCCATAAAAAATTCAAATTCACATTACATGACATCAAAGTAGAGCAAAAAAATCAATTTCAAAACTGCATTTATCACCCTCAACCACCGATATTTTTCAGGCACCAATCATATACAATATATTTAAAAAATGAATACTGTATCATTGCATCTGTAAATTAGTCATAACAGTAACAGATTTAGTAAAAATAACAAACTGTCTAGGGATTATTACCAAATTTGTTTTTTTTTAATTTTTTTTTATAAAAACATAAGGAATAGCTCTTCAAACTAGTCGTTACAGGAGATTTCGCGGTGTATATACTGATTTAAAACTGATTATTTTGGTCGATTTAATCTGAATTCCTTCAGTTACAAAGATATTCGAACACGGATAAAAGCCAGGCCTACGAATGCTGATGTTTTAAGGAAACATGGCTTGTACCAGGAGATGAAGCCCAATACAACTATCCTGTGAGTACCCCAGAACTTATTTCTGAAATTTCATGTCACTGAAAGTTTCAATGTTACGGTATATATGTTTTTAGATGTGTATATTGGTATGTGTGTGAGAGGAGTGTGTCTGCGTTGATGTGTGTGCGTGTATGTAATTCCTACAGTTGGGGGGAGGAAGGGTCAAGGAAAAAATGAAGGGGGATTTTTTTTCCTTCGGGTAGATGATTAACATGAATGAAAATGAGATGAGTGTAAGCAGAATGTGATTCTTGAGCGAGTTTTCGTGTGTGTACATGTACGTGTATATGTCTCAGGGAGAGAAACAAATCGTTACTTACTATTTCAAGTCGAGCACGCCGCCATGTTACTTACCAGATAGGAACTGTGGCTGCGTTTGTTTCCTTTTTTATGGAAGAGCGCACATTGCTGGTGTACCGGAAGTTATCCAGGATTGGACCATAAATTACCAAGTGGAGTCGCAATGTGTAGTCGGGAGGATGGAAAAAAATTGTAGCTAACGGAAGTTAAACAATTTGATGTCCGATCAGTATCGGCTGAGTCACCGTGGAGAGGGGATATGATATTGAAAGACCCGAAACCCCTAATGCACCTCGACTAGAAACATGACTGATGATGTGTACCAAATCAGGCAATAGATATATTTTACGAAAATAAGTATCCTTTTAATTTATGTTTCCCTGCCTTGGGGGAGTATCACCCGCGTGCAATTTTTACCAAATGCTACAATCGTAATCTTTTCAAGTCAACGGACGATCGTCGATATAACCCTTACGTCCTACCAACTCCTCGTGTATGTCTATAATACATACAGCTTATTCAATAACCATCTACTTTGTATATTATTTTAGGTGAACATTAGTTAAGAATAAGAGGATTCCTCGTGGCTCACATGTTCTGTCCATGATTCACTGTTAGAAACACATGTCTAGCAGTTCAATTTTCCTCTTTGTTTGTGTAGAGATTATCCAAAATTCACTGCCATATCAGTGATTAAATATTACGTCAGAGTGTAGTGATCTTTTGTTTTTCTCTAATGAATATTTCCTGTCTTGATATTTCTCTTAGTTTCTGGAAGGTTCTTTAGCTATTCCTATGTGCCTTCTATTTTCTGCCGTCTGTTAAACTCATTCGATTTTGTCTCATTATTGATAAAATAGCCGCCGGAGTTGCTTAACTGGCTCGGTCAGTATCTAAAATGGCACCAGACTCTACGTCCGGACCGTTTATTCATTTTTTTTTTTTCCTCTCTGTCTCTGTCTCTGTCTCTGTCTCTCTCTCTCTCTCTCTCTCTCTCTCTCTCTCTCTCTCTAACTCATTTTTTCTCTATATATATTTATCTATTTATCATCTCCATTTTCTCTTTTTCACCATTTTCTTCTTTTTTTTCTGCCTCGCTTTCGTTCTCTCTTTCGCTCTTGATTTCTTTCTTTCTTTGTCACTCTTTTTCTTTTTCCTTTTTTCAGTTACTCTTACCCCGCTCGCATTTTCTCTCATTCTTCCTTTCTCTCTTTCTTTCTTTTATATTTCATTCATTTTTTTCTTTCTCTCTCTTTCTCATCGTCATTCTCTCTTTTTCATATCTGTCTTTCTTTCTCTCTCTCTCTCTCTTTCTCGCTTTCTTTCTCTTTTTTATTTCATTTTCGATTTCTTTCTCTTTCTCTCTTTCTTTTTCTCTTCCCCTTACCCTCTCTCTTTCTTTTTCTCTTCCCCTTACCCTCTCTCTTTCTTTTTCTCTTCCCCTTACCTTCTCTCTTTCTTTTTCTCTTCCCCTTACCCTCTCTTTCTTTTTCTCTTCCCCTTACCCTCTCTTTCTTTTTCTCTTCCCCTTACCCTCTCTCTTTCTTTTTCTCTTCCCCTTACCCTCTCTCTTTCTTTTTCTATCATTCTTTCACATTTTCAACTCCCTTTGTTTGTTTATTTATTTATTTCTCTATTCGTTTGTCTTTATCTTTGTCTTTCTCTAATTCTTTCTCCCACTCATTCTTTTTCTTTATTTCTTTCTTTTTTCTTTTTCTTTTTCTCTTTCTTTGTCTCCCTCTTTTTTCTCTCTTTCGCTGTTTCACCCACTCTCTCTCTCTCTCTCTCTCTCTCTCTCTCTCAATATTGCATTATTTTTCATTGTTTCTCTTTTTATTTCTCTCTGTTTCCTTCTTCCTTTTCCTCTCTATTTACTTCTCTCTCTTTCTTTTTTTCCTTTTTCTTTCATTCTTTCTTTCTCTATTTTCCTTTTTTTTCTATCTGTCAACCATATTGTTTATTTTCTGCTACAGAACATTTTGTCGTTTCGGTATTTATAATTGCAATTTCTTAACATCTTTCATCTAATCACGTTGATATTCACATGCCTTTCCTAATCAAATAAAAAAAATTCTGAAAAGCTGTAGATTGTCTGCTTTTTTAACCGACTCCCTTCAAGCACTCCTATTCCGTGTTAGAAAAGTTGTAAATGAGAGTTAGACACTCAAACCTAACGTGTTTTTTTTTTCAGTTTTTCGTTTATTTCTCAGCCTCAAAGCAAAACCACAAATCGAGTAGCAGCTTAAATTAAGTTTTTGCCTGAAAGAAAAAAAAAACAAGAACTAAGGTTTTGTCTTACGAGAGACATGTTTATTTAGAGAGACGTGTTTATTACAATTCTACAAGTTTATGAAATTACTAGAACATTTCAGAAATAAATTAGTATGTTTATTTATTTAACATGATAGTATTTGATAATATTGCTTTAATTACTCAAATGAATTTTCTGCAGGTGGTTAGTGATGTATTTTTCACTGAGCGTTCACCCATCTAGGACCTAACCAGGCTCGACGTTGCTTAACATCAATGATTGTGCGGGGACTAATGTTTCAATATGATGTCGCCATTAGACTTTGCTTATTGAAATACAGTTGTATTCAATAATTCCAAAACTAAATTACTAACAGTTCATCACCACCCAGCAGACCATGAACTTGTCCCAGTCCCGATGCGTAGTCAGGCCCTCAAAAAGGCACCTTGCCTTGAACGCTGACCTGTTATAAAGCTGATTTCCGATCTTACACCGAACGCGTAAGTTCGTGCCATCGCAAAATATCCTGAAAGAAGGGTCGGTTCTTTGAATCGCTCCAGAAAACACCAAGAATCAGATCGGATCAAAACCGGAGCATAGCTACCATATCTGGTCTGGTGATGTCCAGTGCTCACTCTCCAACCTGGAGTTTACCCATACTTGTAAGTGATATATTATTCGCCTCCCTGCAACCCTTATCCCACAGACGAAATGACGCCAGTGTTTCACTGTTATATCGCTATTACGATGACAGATGTTCGGACGAGTAACATTCCTTAGTGCCACCAACCGGAACCTTCACAGCTAGGACCTGCCATTCCGTGTTCAAGTTGGCAGACCATCCCCATTTCTTTTCTGTTCCTTTGATAAAAAAATCAACTTCCATTCAGGCAGCTTCTTCGCTAGAAGCGTAACTTTGTGAAAAAAAAAGGCTCGAGAGAATGCTTCCCTGGCAGCTACAATATTGGCCTCTTTAAGCTCTGAATCGACCGATATCTATCGTACTTATCCTCATAATAGACTCTTATTTCCTCTCCCATCTACTTTAGAATTCCACTCAATAAACCACTAACTCGAGTGGCCCTTGGGCCTTGTATTGTGTGAAAGATCAGTAAAAAAGAACAATAATCTAGCTGCTCAAGAGATATACTTACAAATAGCTTTCACCACCGAAATACTAAAGCAATTTCATTAGCAAACATACGAACAATGTGAACGTGTCAAAATGGAAATTATCTGCTTATTGAATAACATGGACTCTATAAAATCTTATCGTTTTAATTAAAGCATTTCTTATTATTAATAACAACTGAGGTGAGATCAACAAGAGAAAAATTAAGTAGAAATATTGAATTTTTTTTTAATTCGTTAAATTGCCACAAACTATACTGTATTTTTTTGAGCATCATATGATAAATTTTGAACGCAAATTTAAGACGGAAAAGGGGAGTCATATTATAAACAAATACAAGTCTTCAGAAATTCTTACTCAGCTTAGCTTAAAAAGAAACTCTTCTTTGAAACAGCAAGCTTGCAAATACATTCGGTTAGCACAAGAGTTAATAAAGCACAAAGTAAACAGGTGTTTACAAAAATTATTTGATACGTCGGCCATATTTGTTTCTCACTTCATTCTTAATGAACGACAATATATTTTTTTTTATTTTCATAGTTTATTAATATACAGAAATATAATAGTCATATTAAACAGAAAAAAATATGATAGATTAACACCTTAATTAACACGGGTATGTCTAGTTAGCACTTTTCAACGAAAATTCGAATGTTTAGAAACGAAAATTTAAGAAAAGAAACATGCAATGTCTAAACATCTGCTTCATTTGTATTTCTTAATATCGCAAGAAATTAAATATTTTAGCGAAATATATGTACGACATTCAGATAGATAATACGACACAACTTTTAGAAAAGTTACATAAGGTAGGGGACTCTCCAGTATCGTATTATACACAAGGATGCAACTTTTTCGCTGTTTTAGATTCAGAAATACGTATTGTACTCAAGACGTATTATACACAAGAAAACATGGTAGAAATTAGGAAACACTTAGTTTCCTGTTTGGAAAAATACTATATATTCCAAATGGTACACACATCTGATTTTTTTATTAATTTATCGATCTTTAAAATCGACCTCTGATCTGTTGTCAATTCGGCTTACTATGATCGATGATCGCTGACACGCCTTACTTTACTCGACTGAGTTTAATCAATTTGCGAAAGACAAAGCAATAGGAGAAAAGAAAAGACAATATTTACATCTCTGTAGCAATACTGCCAAATAGAGAAATGTCTTTCAAAGGTATTTCACCGGTATTACAAACGGTTAGCAGGAAGGAAATCATAGTGGACAATGATGACTGTGATTGAACGTAAAGTAATATTGCTTCGATCTTTGTCCAGAGTCGCCTTTCAAAATTGTACAGACGAGAGAATAGACAGTGTTTATTGTACGAGTTATTTTTGAAGCTACCGATTGAAGTTATGGTCCAGAACGAAACAGTTGGACGAGTTATTTCAGTGAAAGATAAAAATCTTTATTCAGAAAGTGGGGAAATAAGGTTTATTAAACTCTACGATTGATCAAGGGAAGATATTTCTACCCATGCTTCGAAAGTCTTCAAATAGTGACCTACTGAATGCGTTTATCCATGACTTCAAAAAATGGCGGTGTTATTTTGATTTCTTTTTGCAAGTACATTCCAGTTACAAAGTTAATATCTATTTATTGAAATTAATTTAGTGCAAGCATTAAACTAAAATTAATTTAAATTTGAAAATTACGTCATCAGATTAGTCCAATTATTGGAAATGAAACACATTGCGATTCAACAAAATTTGCCATTTTCCTACAGGATGTGAGTGACCATGGCTCTTTCAAGAATATTTGTTATTTTATTATCCCTGTCTCTCAATGTTCTCCTATTCATTTACACATTGTTAGGTAGTGTACTCGCTTCTTTAGTCTGTGTCTCGTGTTTTCAGTATATCCTGTGAATGTCAAATTTTCCAAGCCTTCTTTTCTCATGTGTCCCGGAGATTTTAGCTTTTCATCCTGACTTTATATATAACTATCCTTTACTTTTCCATTTTACTTAAAACTTCCACGTTGCTTACATACTCCGTCCATGTTATTCTCAGTATCCTTTTGTAAAACTATATCTCTATTGTCTGCGAGGCAATTATCTAATTTTTACTGCCATATAAGAGAATCGATATAGCATAACAATTCCGCACTATTTTTTTATTTTATTTCTCGTGAATTTTTTCCCTGTTTCTTAATACTTTCTTATCGTTTGGAAGACGGCTTTTGCTATTCCAATACGTCTTCCGGTTTCGGTATCATATTTTACACCATCATTTAAAACACTTCCCAGATATTTAAACTTCTGTGCTTGCTAGATTTTGACATCTCTAATTCGTTGCTAGCTTCTTTGTTTTTCTCTTCTACTGATAACAATATATTCACTGAATATACTATTAAATATAATTACTGTCTTAACAAAATACGCTACAAAATACGAAATATCATCAAATTCTTCGAGATGTACTGAAAACCCTGCTTTCTATTCCGTCACTTCCTGTCTGTCACACCCTCTAAAATAGCCATACGTAGACCGATCGAAACCCAATTTTGTGGAGAAGGGAAAACAGCTAAAGGGGTACAAAGTACAGTTGGTTTTACTAGGGTGCATTTTTAGTACAATAAATTGTTATTAATTTTTTGAAAAATTAAAAGCTTTATTATTTAACATACAAAATAATCTCACTGTTTAAAAACAATTTAATACATAAAATAACAAAATAACTTGTTTAATAAAAATGCAATATTGTTCTTGCATCTCTTTTCTCTAAGTTTATATATATACTAGAATCCAGTTTCCAGTTCGCTCTGTCGGAATTATAAACAAATCACGAGGCCAAATACTTCAAAAAGTTGGAACTTGGCCTGTTGTATGTTGCATACTCAGGAGTAAAAAATGATAAGAATTTATTCTTCGCTGTTGAAAAGGAAAAAAAGAGAATTTTCTTAAAAAATATTGCTTACCATGAAGTCTGTAGGAACATTAATATTGTAAATGAATAAAACATAGCACACACAAAACAAAACAAGTATTATTAAAACGGGGGCACGGTGGAGTAATGGATAGTGGCTCGGCGAGCCGAGTTAGAATTGCAGTCGAATGCATTACATTCACTTTCGTTTTAATACCCTTGGGAAAGGTATCAATCCTCTTCTTCTACAAACCTTGGGTAAATAGCAAGAGAGAGCGGGTTTTTGCATGGCAACTGGTCTACCGCAGAAATAAATACTGCAGGAAAAAAATCTGCCTCGTCAGTCATGTAACGAAAGATACATGATCGTCTAAGCGTGTATCACGCATGGCACATAACTGACTGAACATTAAAATGTTTTTATATTAAATTAGATAAAAAATAACAAATTGTTACTGCTGGAAAAAATGGATTTCCCGCCAAAAGACGCTGAACCCAGTCTCTTCGATCCCAACTGTTGAACAGTCAAGAGGTTTTATTTCTCTCTTCGGGACATTGCTTGTTATAACTGGAGCAACACAGATCACAATAACCAGCGGTAAAATGGATATTTTACGGGGTAATGAAGCGGTAAGATGTTTTATTCTGCCGCACGACTCGTCCGGAATCTTATTTCTTTTTAATTTTGAGAGGTGAAAATAGGAGCGACCATACCACGTTAATTAGTTGCTCATAGTTTCTTTTTTT